TTACAAGAAGGTGCACGAGTTGACGAATTTTATGAAATCCAAAATAATGGATTACAATCCCTATATTGGAGAGAAGCAGTCAACAAATGTGAAGTTCGATGACGACGCACGGCCTCATTCCCAGAATATACGAGGGCACCCTGTAGCTGATGCGACAGATACACAACGAATTGTTGAGCTCGGTATTCCACGACCAACGTGGTTCAAACCTAAATTTTTTGATAATTCTTTTCGTGATGACAAACACTGAACGATGCTTCTTGTTTCAGTAGTACTTGCTGATTGATGCAGACGACCATTTTGTCGAGAGTATTTCTATTGTATTGCTTGTGATGTTTAATTTGTCTAACTGAGATATGCAGAAGGGGTGGCTGTCCTACTAAAGACGTGGCTTTCCTAGACAAACCAAAGTCAAAGCCAAAAAAAAAAAAAAACGAAATTCATCCGGGACGAAGAATTATAAAAAGTTGAGTTATTAAAGATTGGCAAAACGACCGCTGGAAAGTGTATGCCTGGAACTGGTCGTCTCTGTGCTGACTTCCTCATTTCTTTTGAGTTTTTCTTTGCTTCACTATTAAAATACCGACGAATTGGGAAGTAGGCGTAAAATATAGCTGGAGAGATTTGAACTTGAGCTGGTAAAGGGTTAGAATGTCACAAGTTCAGTGTTGATCCCACGAAGGTGTGTTAGTTGGAATCAGATCTTAAAGATAAACTGGCTAACAAAAGCTTCAGCAGAGCGATTTAATCCTCCATTAGGCGCACTATTATAATATCGCTTCAACCTTTATTAACTCACAACTGTTATAATAAAAATCTGAGTGGAATTCTTTCCCGACAGTTTGGTGGTATCGATTATGTTAACAGCCATGGTGTAATTCAGTAGCTGTGACTAAGCATAAGCTTCAGTAAATCCTATCAAATTTATTTGTCCTCAGCTTCACCTAAGCATAAACTTCATTAATACGGGGACCGCTTACTGAAGACAGGTTTTCGTACGACAAATCCTGCTCGCATAAGCTCAGTTTTTGTTTTCTTTCGGTTACAGGCTTCAATTCTTTGATTTTGCTTTCCTTTTATCCACAAATTCAGGTTTGTTTCATTTTTCTTTGTTGTGCCGTGTTGGTTTATTTTCTTCTGTACTGCT